CACCATGTTAAAATACCTGAAAGATATCTTATTTTACAAAGATATTAAGAATAAATACAGTAAGTTTTCAGACAAAGGATGCTTTGTCAGGTTCTTAGTATGCAATGTAAAACTGTAATATTCTATGTAGTGCTTTAGTTTTCTAATAAGTCATTGTGATAAGGTTAACACTTCAACACAGAACAACATACAAATAAGAACACCCAAAGATGAAAATTACTTTGCTTATGTTGCTGTATTAGAATTTTATTTGCTAAAGGGTGAAAACAGATTTGCAAAATTCACAGTTAACTTAAAACAATAGTTTTAAACCTTTTATTCCTAGCCCTGGCTGCCTCCAGGAAGGAAAGAACATCTGGTTATTTAAGGAACACAATATGTTCACATTTTCTATGACTTTTGTTTCTAATTGGTTTTTTAAATTTTTTTTTATTTGAACAACTCTAGTTAGAACTATGTTTTTTAATCACTTTATATTTTTCCACTGCCCCATATCCGTATCTCTACTTCTTAATTTTGCAGCCTTTGCTTTGAAAATTAACTGTGCTCAATGGTTTTGATAAGGAAAAAAATGAAGAAAATTGGCCACTAGTGGGATATTAAATACACAGAGACACACCTTCAGTACGTGCTTTTGGATATACACAAAAACCCCTTCGCTTATTTTTTCATTTCACATATACATACTTTTAATAGCCCATTCTTCCATAAGAAGCTCTATCTTTATATTCAGAAGGACTGTAAGTGCATAAAAGTTACTTTCATATAAATAATTGAGGTAATTATCTGCTCAAAGATTAGAAATGTGAAACAAATACTCTGCTAAGGAGGTTAATTTTATCATCCTATGCAAAGACAACACCACTGATTTGAGCTTTTCATTCTACATTTTCCCAAGAACTGGAGCTAGCCAAATGCAGAAAATGCTGAAATTCAATTATTCTGCATTGATCTATACTCATGCCTGTAAAATTAGTATCTCTGAGGCCCCCCTTCAGAGACAGGTGCATTAACTTGTTTTGAGCTATTACGGAGATGTGTATTTCTTTTCTGTGGCACTGGAATATATCAGGGATGCGGTATCTAAAACGTTCTCTCATCTCAACTGCCTGTTTGGGTTCATGAAGTGAAACGGAGAGCTGCTGCATGCAGTAGATTAATGGCAAGTACTAATTATTTTTCATATTATTGTTATTATTGGATAATTCTAAGGCTTCTGTTAAGGTTTGATTCCACAGAAGGTCAGGAAATTGTATTTATCCATCTGTAAGAAAAAAATGCCACCCATCTTTTAAGTATAGCTTTCTTTTGACATTTAGGTTGCTCTCCTGGTGATGACGGTAGTGCAAAGAAACAAACAAAACATGACAGGTTCATCAGGCCAAAGTTTAGCTCTCCTGATAGTCTACAAGACAGTAAGTAAAAAGGAGATATCTGTTACGTCAGACCAAGGAAACTGAAGAAATGGTGGATGTTATTAGATGTGCAAACCCAGATTATTTACAGAATTGGAAATTATGGATGGAAAGGCCACATCAGGTCCATCTTAACTACTTCACCATATATGACAGGATCGTTCCCTAAGAACCTTTCAGTTTTATGTATGTACCACCAACCTTTCTTAGTCCAAATACCCCCCAACTTCCCCTCCGTGAGATAATTTGGCATTTACCTAGCTGCAAAAATAATCCCAAAGACAATATATATTAAAAAACCTGCAAGAGGCAGATTCCTGTTTGTCCCTGTCCGTGAGTTCTAAATTGCATTTCTTGTCCAGCTGCAATTTAAAGCTCCAAGGGGCAGAGAGTAAGCCTCTCTCGGATAGTTGGAACAACACTCAACATTCTTGCCATGTGCAGCAAATAATAAAATAAGCCACCAGACCATGCAACGGTCACCCACAGAAGAGTTCCCTGACTTCACATACTAAAGCCCAAGAGAAATCTTGGAAAAATGCCACACAGAACAACTCAGCCCTGGTTCAGGAGATCTAAATTGCACTGAACCAAATGTAATTTCCCATTAGAAACCAGAAGCTGGTGAGGGAGAAATGCACAGGAAAACATCAAAGGAGGAAGAAAAATCATTAAGCACTGAATTTGCTAATCATCACATACAAGTTATGCTACTGACTAAAATCTCCTTGTCTTTTCTTCCAATCTCCTTTTATCTGCTCAGGGAATAACGGCAAACTGAATTATCTTTATGCAGATAGCAAAGAAAAGGTATCATAATTTTCCCACTTATATTGGTATATAATCTGTGTACTGACTTTAGACTCCTACAGCACCCAGGATGTCTTGTTGAGTCTTCCTTTTCATTCTGTGTAATGAGAAATTTTGACAGACTTGGAAAATTTTTGTGTGTAGGTCTTAGAGAATAACAAGACTTCCATTTCAGAAATACATTGGATTGAATCAACATATGCTTATAGACACATAAGTGAAACTAAAAATCATACCTAGGGAAAGAAACTGGTACCCAAGTCATAGCACTGAAAATACTTTTCTTTCTCAGACCAGGAGCTATTTTTTTGCTTTAGAGTGATCCTTTACAACAGTTTAACTTCCTTACTGTAAGAAGTCCAGATCTGTTTATGCAGTCTCAACCCAAAGATCCAACATAAAACGAGAGGTGGCTGGAAGCCCCTTAGGACTCTTCACTCTCTGGAAATCCCAGCTTCCTAACCTTCAGAGTATTTCCCAAGCAGATAAGTACAGCTCAGAAATGAGGAACGATTGTAATTAATCATATCTAAAACGACAAAACAACTAGCTGTCTTTGCATGAAAGAACCCTAAGTAGTCATTCACCTCAATGAAGGGAGAACTACCTCAAAGACACGGTAGGAACTACACCGAGTATTTTTTTGAAAGGTGTTCAAGGCACACCTGAGAACGTTAGTTAATAGGACTCTGAGGCCTTATAAGCCTGACAACTTCTATCTCTGGGCAACCTGTTCCAGTCTTTCACCACCCTCATTAGTGGTGAAAAATTTCTTCCTTAGATTTGGTATAAATCTACTCTCTTTTAGTTTAAAACCATTACCCCTTGTCCTATCGCAACAGGCCCTGCTAAAATGTCTGTCCCCATCTTTCCTCTAAGCCCCCTTTAAGTACTGGAAGGCTGCAATAAGGTCTCCTCAGAGCCTTGTCTTCTCCAGGCTCAATAATCCCAACTCTCTCAGCCTTTCCTTGCACAAGAGCTGTTCCATCACTCGGATCATTTTTGTGGCCCTCCTCTGGACCCGCTCCAACAGGTCTATGTCTTTCCTGTGCTGAGGGCTCCAGAGCTGGATGCAGTACTCCAGGTGGGGTCTCAGCAGAGCAGAGTAGAGGGGCAGAATCACCTCCCTCCACCTCCTGGCCACGCTACTTTGGATGCAGCCCAGGATATGGTTGGCCTTCTGGGCTACGAGCACACGTTGCCAGCTCATGTGCAGCTTTTCAGCCACCAGTACTCCCAAGTCCTTCTCAGCAGGGCTGCTCTCAGTCCCTTCATCCCCCAGCCTCTACTGATACCCAGGGTTGCCCTGACCCAGGCGCAGGACCCTGCACTTGGCCTTGTTGAACCTCATGAGGTTCACACAGGCCCATTCCTTGAGCTTGTCCAGGTCCCTCTGGATGGCATCCCATCCCTCAGGTGTGTCAACCGCAGCACTCAGCTTGGTGTTGTCTGCAAACTTGCTAAGGGTGCACTCAATCCCACTATCTCTGCCATTGATGAAGATATTAAATAGTACTGGTTCCAATACGGACCCTTGAGGGACATCACTCGTCACCGATCTCCATGTGGACATTGAGCCGTTGACCGCTACCCTCTCTGGATGCAACCAGCCAACCAATTCCTCAACCGAACAGTCCACCCATCAAATCCATCTCTCTCCGATTTAGAGAGAATGATGTTGTGGGGGACTGTGTCAAAGGCCTTACAGAAGGCCTTTACAATAAAGATGACATACTTTACTTCTCGTCATGAAAGAAATCTTTGTGCGCAAGAGGAATGAAGAAAGCAGTTGCAAGGATGTAGATTTCTGCAAAAAACTGATACAGAAACGAGACAATTTTTTTCTTAATCCATAAATGCGTAAACATTAGTACTGAATGAAATTTTGCAGATGGCAGTCAGAGTGCAGCAGCAATGAATTTTTCACTTTCAATGGTGATGTGTATCAAGAAGATGAGGAAATCAGACTTCACACTGGCCGCCTACTAATGGGACACGCACAAAGACAGTTCAAAACCAGCAACACAAATTCTGCTATCTGCCAAAGATCTGAGTACTGCAAAGATTACCATGTACAGCTTCATTTCAAACACTTTATCCACTACCCTCTGGATATCTGCTGTATATTATATCCACACATATACACATGGAATTCTAAAATAGCAAGAGGTTTGGGTTTTTTTCAGTATAGATGACTGTGTCAGAAACTGTATGCTAGTAATATGTAACATAAAATTTATGAATTTATACATTTTATTCATGTGAATCTTTTCAGGCTGTAACAGCAGACTCTCATTTTTAATTGAAAACCATCATGTAACTATTATATATTGGGCAGGGGTAGTGCTTTAAGGATTAACAGTGACTGATCTGCAGAAATCCCATGGAAAAGGTCTTACAGTTGAAATTGCATGACGGTTTCTATACAGCTTACTAGATTATATAAAGTGTTACTGTTTCCCTCAAAAGTATACTTCATTATGAAAAATGTCTGTGCAGAATACCAAGCAAAGGTATTCTAAAGAGCACAAACATCTGCAGTTACCAGAGCTCTGGATAATTTTAGCAAAGTAGTAGGACAGTATCCTTTAAAGAGTAAAGGAACTTGTTTCTACTCTTGGTTACCAACTCTTCCCTTCAGCGTTTTTATCAGGTAAGAAGAAATTTGAAACTACAGTTTAGTTTCCCAAAATGTAGGTTGTTATTAACTTCACAGTATTTAGAACATTCTGTTACAGAGACTTATTCCCTGTATTTAGAAAGCAAGCATCTCACCTTTGGATCTCGGAGAAAAAGTGCTCTTAGGATAAGGGAGTGAACATCTCCAATTGGAGGATAATGCATCAGAAGTCCCAAACAGGTCTGATAATTACTTGAAATCACTAGAACAAAAATGGGAAGGGGAAAAAAAAAAAAAAGAGGGGGGGAAAAGTGAAATATTACTATCTTATTTTGATAGCCCCAAACAGTACCTTTCCCAGTAGATTCATTACAGTTCAGATTCAGCTGTCTTCTCCCACATTAAGTCTCTTAGAACTAAAGCACTCAGAGTAAAAGAAGATACTGCATAATCAAGCTTCGTGACTATGCTTGGTCCAACATCATTAAGGACAATGCTAAACCTACTACCGACTTTATGTCATAGATGTTTATGTTAGCTCCAGATTTAGATGCCTAAATTTAGATCTCTGTAGCTGTGCACCTAAAGCCTGCCTAAAAAAAGCAGGGCAATAGAATCAGTGGAGCTTGAAAAACTAGTCCTACACTCTATTTCAGAGTGTAGGACTAGCTCTTGAAATGGCTTTTTAGACATTCATCTGCAGACACCTAAATTTAAATATGATAATTTGTGAGACAAATTTCACCTTCCTTCCTGCTTTTATGATAACTTTCCCCCACTCCAACAATTCTTTGCTGAAATATCTTTTACGTTGTTCTTATGTACATATACACATACATGCCCCCACACATATACAAACACAAAGGTAAAATGATGTCAACAACTCGTTTTCTCATAAATCAGGAACTATTCATGAAATGCTCAGGATAAAGGGAAAAGGCTAGATTTTAATTTCATAAATACTTAAAAATATAGTATACCATTAACTTTATTAGAATTTTCTACTTATTCAGGAAATTTTCAGCGTGCTTTGCTAAAGTTTATAATTTTGTTATAATTGTGCTTGATTTTATCTGACTCTATGTAAATGCTTGTCGTTGTTCTTTGCTTGTCGTTGTCGTCTTCTGTTTTGGGTTTTTTTTCCCCAAATCAATCTAATTATGAGTGCAATTATTAAAGACATCTTTTCAGGCAGGTCTATGTAAACTACTTCATTTCTTTTGCACTATCTAAATCCAGGCAATCCATCTGCCACAGCTGTCAAAGCAATGCCTGTTAATGATGCTTGCACTCTGCAACATAAAGACAGCCTCTAACAATAGCAATTATAAATAAATTTCTAACAAACTTTACTATTCTGAGAACTTCAGCTGTAACAAATATTAATTAATCAGGCCTCTACACCAGAAAGGATCATTGCAATACAAAATTATTTTGAATCAATAAAAGGCAAAATAAAGGACTGTTTTGCGGACAAAAGGATTTAAATGTTTTACTTTTTTTCTTTCATGTGAATAAGCCTCATATCCTCCTGTACCTTTCCTCCCTCAACAAGAGGATTATGGGGAAAAGATGCAGCACTGGGCAAAATGAATAATTATAATCTGTGTAGG